CCAAGAAGATTGGCCCTATTAAAGTCGGCTACTATGTCCGGGTCTGATATGTATGTTGCGAGGGCCGTGCTGGTTCTCCCATGACGAATATCCGCCCTATGTTCTTGCATTCTGATGCCTGTGGATCTTTTAGTAGAGCCTATATATACTAAATCCCTATTTAATCTATTATCTCTCAAAGGGACACTATAGATTCCTGGTCTTCTACTGGGTTAGGAGGGTCCTTCCCATTACTTAAGATGTTAAAAATAGTGGGACACCTCCTGTAAGCAATACGTATTTGGCGCTTCCTGGCAATCTTGTTGTATATAGATCTTACATATGGGTTATAAGTGATGGGGGATCCATTCTATGTCTTCCAGTTGGTTATCAATGTGTTGGTCTACCAGCCATGCGCTATCTACGTATATCCGGCTATAATTTTGTATCATCTTACGTATAGGTTTGCGGTAACCATGTTCTGCGGCAACTTGCTGTATAGACGTTAGCTCTTTATCACGAGCCTGTATGTTAGAAGAATGTGTGAAGGCTCTTCTGATTAAGGCTTTATATGCAGCCATCTTGTAGGAAACCGGATCGCATGACCCCACAGGGATGTACGACGACATAGATCCTGGTTTATGGTACACCACAGTGCTGGTGCCATCTTTTTCTAACCTAATATTTATATCTAGGAAATGGACCTCTGCGGAGTCAGACTGTTCTAATTCTAGCATCAACCCATATGGGTTGTTATTATTATAAGCATCCACTAAGGCTGTTATATCAGGCACATTTTTCCAAAAAATAATAATGTTGTCAATATATCTCCTATGTAGTATGATATTAGGGAGGAATTTTGAGAGGACTTTGTTCTCCAACTGCCGGAGTACCATCTCACATAAGTCCCCTGACACCGGGCTGCCCATGGGGACCCCTCTGCCTTTTGTGTAGACCTCACCATTGAACTGGACCACAGAACTATAACATATTAAATGTGCCATTTCAAGTATCTGGTTGTAGTTCTGTAGTCCCGTTCAATGGTGAGGTCTACGCACAAGACAGAGGGGTCCCCATGGGCAGCCCGGAGTCAGGGGACTTCTAAGGGACATGCTGTTTTGTATAGTCGGGGATAACACGCTACATCAAAAATGTTTGTTTTTGTACTTGTTAGTCGCTTGTACCACACCGTAAATTGGTTCAGTGTATGTGATTGTTATATAGGTGTGGTGAGTAGTTAATTTTTAACTTAGTATTAATATATTTATATAACTAGCTATTACCCACAACTTTGCCACACAGATTTTGCAAGCAAATGGCATTTATATTCAGTATTTCAACAACCATAGTAATTGTTATATAACACCTACTGCTGAGAGTGATGAGAATTGCTGAGAATCAAACAAACTGTTTTCAATATGATCAATTTTCTGGAACGTTTACAATTGTTCTATAATCGAACCAATAGGCAATAACAAATTCAAATTTAAAATGATTCAAACATTTGGTTAAAAAATCGAAATACATAAAAATATTTATAACAATGTCTGAAATGTTATCAATTTAATACATCTAAGTACTCAATGAAGACTAAATGTAGTTGAAAACAAAAAATTGCATCTAAAATAGTACAGTAGAACCTGTTTTTCAGGTTAAGCCTTAATGCTCTCCCTCTCCCTCCGCAGAGGAATTTCCAAAACTCCCTTCTTAGTGTGCATTTTCATGAAGTACCCTAACTGTGTATCAAATTTCACCTCTTTAGGTTCAGCAGTTTGCTATGGGCAATGATGAATCAGTCAGTCGGACAAGTAATTTTATATATTTAGATATAGAAATAGTTGTATTTTCTAGTGCAGTGTAAGTCCACAGCTTTCCTTATGTGATAAACCACAGGTGAGACTGTGACTGTTTGTGACTTATATCATTTTATATTGTCATGCTATACCAAGTTTTATTTTGTTGTCATGAATTTTGAGTAATGTAAGTTAAGTATTTGTTATGTTCTTTGATTGTTTATAGAAAACAAATCCAAGTACAATTTATGTATATTTTTGGTGCACATGTAATGAATATGCATACACTTTTGCAACTTGCTATATAACATGCATCCTAATGAGATCCCTCTGAAATGAGATGATGATTTATTATTAAAAATTCCCCATCTCTGTGCTAGACAAAGGATCTAACAGGTATGTTGCTATTATGACATTGCTATAGCAAACGTTTGTAAATCAAAATATGCCTGTATTTATATTTGACAGTGTTAATAATTATGAGATATATTGTAATATATATATATTAAAATATTAGTAATTTTTAGCACTTCTTTTACAATATGAAATCATTGATTGATGTCAATAGGAGTTTGTCTAATAAGTCTTATTTAATTAGAATAATAATAAAATTATCAAACAAATTTTATTTTTTAAAATTATGTGATTGGTTAAGATTAAAACTGTAATTGGTGAGATTATGAAAATACAGTTACACTTTGATTTAGTGCTACATATTTTTGTTCTGAAATTGATATTAAAATCGTTTGGTGAAGATTAAACAATAAGAATTATATATATTGACAAATCTATACAAGTTTGAGGATTTGAAACTTGTTCAATTTGATGATGATAATGCCATTTACAATGCAACGTACTTTATTAATTCACAGATACTGAAGTGTAATATTTATGGAGAAAATTGTTCATGAATGTTCCTTGCTATTTTAAGAGGGTTGTTCTATTATATTAAAATTTGAATGTATATTTAATTTTTCTCTCCCATTTGTAACCTGAATCAGTAATATATACAGTACGGTAAAATCTCGACTTACACTACCCCAACTTATGCAAACTTGGAGTTACACGATTTTCAAATCTCTTCGATTCGTCTTTTGTTTGAGCGCTACGCAACTCTTGATTACTCACTACCCCATACTATTATTCAGCTTACATGTTCAGATGTGTCGCATGAAATCGACATATAGCTACAATTTATTTTGTGTTATTTATTTCTGTGTTTGTTATATCTATGGAGACTCGAAAGACTCTATGTGGTGATTTCTTGTAACCGTGAACGAATCAAAAGATGAGATAAGATTAACGAGAACATTTATTAGCTTACATACATCTGACTTGGATTTTACACAAATTGCGAAATTATACCCTGACTTGTGTGGTTATCGCTCGGTCCTACCTATCGCGTAAATTCGGTGTATTACTGTATTTGGAAACCTCACAAAATATAGAAATATTTGTAGAAAATACTGTATATTGTTTTTTGTGTGTGTAATTTTAATTTGATGCTTAATCATTGTTTTTTTGTTTTTGACACTTTTAAATATATATAATAAATTAGAGAATGCATCTGCATTATTTTGTAATAAGATTAATGAAAATACAGTATATTTAATTTATTTGAAAATTTTCTCTGTGATGTAGATTAAACATAAATATTTTTCTCTCTATTATTTATAAGATGCTTTTAATTTTTGATTGTATTGTATTTGTTTAAACATAGTCTTGTTTTATGGAAATTTTGTCAAATGGTATCATATAAAAATTTTCTATATAAATTTGACAACCACAAATTTATATAGACACTTTGGCATCATTTATAATTAACAAAAACATTAAAATGTATTTTAAATGTTTCGGAAAAAAAATAACATTTTAGTTTGATGTGTCTAAACATACCAAAAAAAAGAATTTTATTATATCATATGGAGTAAACTAGTTTGAGAGAAAACCATGAGTGCATTTTATCACTCATATTAATTATGGTTTCAGTTTTCTTGCATAGTTTCAAAACTTTTAGTTTTAGTGTAACCTTTATACAACTTGTATAAAATAAACAGACAAATAAAACAAAAAATTCTGCCTTGTGTGTGCATTAGAAACTTGTATCTGTGTTTCATCTTGATTATTTTTTTCTTGTAGAAATTTGTTTTTAATTTTTATACTATTGCTTTTGCACCACAATAAAGTTCATAATAAAGATACTGTAGTTAAGTAATTCTGACTATTAATGCACACATACTGTGCATTCAAGGATTAACCTAACCATTTGTCATCTGCAAAATATGAACTCGTATGTATTAATTTCATGTAAAATAACTCTCATAATATTAATATGTTGTAATATATACAAAGTATCATTATCTAATCTAATAATTATATATTTATTAGATTAATTTATACAGGTATACCTTGCCTTACGTCAGTAATTGGTTCCAGGAAAATGACGTAAGTCGAATTTACCTGTCTCCGAATCTACTTATCACTAGGAAAGCATTTTAAATAATATATGGTTAATAAAAATCTATTTTAAGCTTACAAACAAATAAATTTTAGTTTTTAATATAGTACAAAAAAAGTAATCTAAATTTACGAATGCGTGTACTGTAAATACAGTACATACTTGTATATATTTTAATATGATTTTATGTGCTTTAAACGTTTATCTAGTGATATTACGACTTCAATATTTGTGGCGGACAGACGTAAAGTCGAATAAAATGACTTAAACTTGATTTTTATTTTTCCATATACTTTTTTAACAAGCGACGTATAATCGGGAACGACGTAACTCGAAACCGACGTAAGTCGAGGTATGCCTGTATTATATTTAATATTATTCACATTAAAACTTTTTTGAAGAAAATTAATTCTAACAATTGTGTCAAATTTAACATCTGCAAAAATATAAAAAGTGATAAAAAGCAAAAATATAGTTTAGATATATCACTAAACTATTTGTTAGTTTAGTCATTCAGATGGTAGATAAAAATTAGTTCATCATTTGCACAGTTTAATTATGTTTAATGATTATATAAATTGCTGATTCATTCATTAATATCATTTAATCTAATTAATACACTATATGAATACATATATATGTATAGAACTTCATATATATATGTAGATAGATGAAAGTTTATGAATTGTTTCTATTCATTTACATTAAAAATTTATTATTACTTCATAAATAGATATGTAGTTTTTAAAGAATTTGGTCCCAAAATTTATTAACTTTTTCATTTTTTCAGATGTTTTCTGATGGAAGTGAAATACATTTTTAACTTGAAGAATTCCTGTTATTGCCAGAATTGTAATTCAGCTGTCTGTGGTTGTGATAAATTAACAGCAGATTATCAGAAATCATATTAAAATATTCATCATGTATAGATAAATTTTAACATGATTATTTTGAATAAGTGAAGAATAATAGAAACAAACTCTTCTAACATTTTTAATAAATCTTTTACTAGTTAAAATTTACATACCAAAGTTTAATTATGGATATAGAAAGTAGTTCAGATTCTGACGATACCTCATCGAAATTGCAAAATGAAAATTCCTCAATTGCAGTTTCAAATATTTCAGGTAAAACTGTTGATGATGATTTGATAAGAGAGAAAAATATTGAATCTTTAGAAATAGCAAAATCTGGAAAGTCTTTTACAAATGGAGAAGATATGATTAATGGAAAACATTTAGAAGAAAAAGATCTTTCAAATGATAAAAATATGGAAATAGATGATGACATTATGGAATCTGAACAAGATGATGATTCTGATAAAGTTTCAGATGAGGAAAGCAAATCTCAGGAAGCTTCATCATCATCTGATGATCAAGATGATCATATGTCTAATGGCTTTGATAGTGCAAGTGAATTAAATGATGATGATAAAAAGTATTCTAAAGATAAATATGTTACGTCTGAGAAAACAAAGAATAAAGAAAATGTTAAAAGTTCAACAAACAATAAAATTGAAGTTAGTCATAGTCATATGCAAACAAGAAGTTTCTCAGTTATTACTAAAGCAAAACAAAATGCTAAGAAAAGTTTAGGTCATTCCAGTAATGCTGAAAAATCAGAAAAATCATTTGTTTTGTCAGAAGTTACAGATGATGATATTGAACAGATAAGGGATGATTCTTGTTTTCCAGACTATTTGAAATCGTTAATTTCTGTTGGAAGGTATATTCCAGTCCAAATAGTTAATCCTCGTGATTACAGACCAAAGAATAATGAAACACTAATTGAAGCACCCTCATTAACAGTTCCTCTTTTAGTTAAGGAACGAAATATATATTTTGATAAAACTTATAAAAGTGAAAGACAAAAGCACAATATACATTCATCTCAGGATAACTATTTCAATAGTTCTGTAGGACAATTTCTAATTGGATTGGGTTTTAGCAGAGTTCGAGAATGGTATCATAGAGATATGACAAAAATCAAGGAAAGACAAATTAGGAAAAAGTCAAAGAAAAATCAAGGAGAAAATGATGGCACAAATTTAGAAGAGGAATTACAAGAGCATAAAAGTGAATACCTCCAAGCTAAACAAGCTAATGAACCATTTATATTTCCAATGAAAAAATGTAATTTATGTCCTTTTCAAACTGAATCACATTTAGTATTGGATGGACATTCTTTAATTCCACATATTTCTTCAAGAAGAGAATATCTTTGTAACTTCTGTAGTTTTAATTCCAGAGATCCAAAATTAATATTATTTCATATGGAAGCAATACACAACAAACGTGGTATTATTGATCTACCCGTTTTTTATGAGTGCCCATTTTGTTTGTTTGATACTCATCTAAAAACAAAATTAACAAGTCATCTTAGCAGATGTCAGAGAACTTTTCGGTACTCTCTTAATCAAGCACCATCTAGAGATTTTCCATATCCAACTCTAACTCCCAAACCTGTTACCACTAGTGATGTAAAAGAATATGAAGTAAGTTTGAATAATTCCTTAAAAAGTAATCAGAAGCTTCTAATGTCACAAATGGATGGATCTAATAGGCACATGTTATCCAGTATGTCATCATTATATCATCAGTTGTCATCAGTTGATTACCAGCAATTACAGCAATTAGCTGCAAACAATGTACAATTGTTAACTAGCAGTGGCGGAGTTAGGACAAAGTATCCTATAATGAATCAGGTTCACTCCAATCAAAAGCTTCCTTTTCCCATTACTAGTAATCATATTTATCATTTTGTTAATTCAAATGGGCAGTTGGTTCCAGTTTTAGGCAAAGATTTGATTAATTCAACATCAAGAATGTCCTTTTTGCCAAGTGCTTTAGAAAGCAGCTCTCAAAAGAAATCTCAAATCAGAGGATCTTATGATAGTGGAAATATGGCAAGAGTTATAAAAATTGATGGTAAGAAAAGTATAGTTACCATGCAGTCATCAGATAATAAATTATCTTCCTCAGGTCATCTTCAAAGACTTCATCTGCCTCACAGTGCTCAGGGTAGCAAATTTACACCACAAAAAGGTTCCAGTAGTGGTCAGGCTAAAATTGTTATTTGTGAAATATGTGATGGTTATATTAAGGATTTAGAACAGTTACAAACCCATATGCATTGGATCCATAAAGTAAAGATTCATCCAAAAATGTTAGCTAGTAGACCACCATTAAATTGTCAAAAGTGTCAGTCTCGCTTCTTTACAGATCAGGGATTAGAACGCCATCTTCTTGGTACTCATGGACTTGTAACACCAAATATGCAAGACATGGCAAATAAAAATCAAGACGGAGGTTGTTGTACAATTTGTGGACAGTTTTATGCTTGCAAGCTTGTAGCACATATAAGTCAAGTACACAAAATTACACTCAAACCTGCCCATTTATCTTACAAGTGTACAGTCTGTTCTGCTACATTCAGCCTATATAGACAGTTTGAAAATCACGTGTATTCTGTACACAGTGGCTCTGGTAAGAGATCTGCCGATGGTGATTCTACACAATCAAGCAAAAAGTTTGCTATGTCTTCTGATAAGGGAAAATCGAAACTTGATCTAGAAAAAAGTACATTGTCGTCTTCAAATAAAAATGATTCAAATAAGCATAGTGGAACAAATAATTCAGTTTATTCGAAAGAGAAACAAGGAAAACATAATTTGCAACCCGTCAGTACTCGATTAAAGAGAAGAAAGTATCTGCGTAGTAGCGAAGGCAAATTTAGGGGAAAAGACGCCTGATTAACATAATTTAAATAATAAAGTTAACGTCAAATTCTAATCAGGTAATATAGTGCTACCAATTATCGGGAAGGTAGATGTATATTTTTTAACTGTGGAACATGGTTCAAAGTAGGCATTTCATATTTGTGCTAAAGTGCATTTATGTTGAGTAGGTTAAAACAAAATATGTAAATATATATATTAAAATTTGTACGTTATTAATTTCTAAATGGTGGAAAAATTTTGATGTACATGAGAGATTCAGTAACAAGAATGATTTTGAGCCAGTTTCATGTTTTTCTTACTATTTATATACTACTGTAATTTTTTTATTTTGTGTGGAATATGTGTTTTTATGGATGTCAAGATCTGTCCATTTAAATGGACCAGATTAAATTGTGAAATTGAATTTTTAAAGACAGTATTGTAATTTTATATGGGAAAAGAAAATGCAGTTTACTATTAATGCTATTTAATAATTCTACGAAAATACGAAAAGCACCGGTCTTGATAATATACAGTAGAGGAAAAGATTTAAAGTGTTTGGAATTGGTGCTTTACAATAATATAGTAGGTAAGCCAACTCAATTAGTAGTGTTCAGTTTGATAATAAATTTTCATAAAGACGTGGTACAATTGCTATCATACCGATCAAACTGGGTAATTTACCTAGATGGATTCGAGGCTGCTCTTGGGAGGGTATATCATTCATCTGGTCACTGTTTCAACTACCATACAAAGAACTACCATTAAGATTCAAATTGTAGTTAAAAAATAAAGGTGATCATAAATTTAGAATTTCGAGTCTAGTATTCCTCTTAATTTTATATGTTTTAGATTTAATTATTCTAGTTTTTCAATTTTTGTTCTCATTCTAAAATCCAGTATTGAAACAGTTATTATTATTTTTCATTAAGCCATTTCATGCCTTAAAAAAAAAGTCTATTAAATTCATTTGCAAGTTAACTTGAATTTATAATTATAAAAATTCTTCTTTATATTATTATAAATGTTTCTAGTTAAAAACAAAATTAATTTACGTAATTTTACGAAAAATTTTGATTACTTAAAGTAAATCTGTAAAGATAGGCATGAAATGAGTTCTGTAGATCAGAATTTATAAAGACGTAATTAATAAATTATCCGATAATTCTGATCATCGGAATGTTTACTTTAAATTGTAAGATTAATTTATGTTTTTATAAATTCGTCTCGGTTACTGTTTTGGTAGTTCTTTTTTTCAGAATTTGCATTGCAAACGAATTGAAGCCGACTTGCCGCATTAAGCATATAACTATATCTGTGCTAGGCGATTTTTTTTCAGAGAAATTCAAGTAAATTTTAAAGTTTCCGTGAAATAAGTTACTCGTTGAGAAGCAAATTCGTGAGTTGTTTCTAATTGTTAGACCCAAAATTCGGATGAAAGTACGTGCTTAAAATGGTGCGTTAAACATTATATTTAAATCAGTTTGTTCATCGTAATTGTGTGTAATGCCGAATTTTAAAAAATGTCTAAGTTCGTGTTTGTTTTAACTTTAATTAAATAAAGTTACCCGATTTAAGAACATCGTAAATTCTCAATTTTCTTAGAACATTTAGAACATAATTGGATTTGATTTGTTAACACAAATTTTCACAGATGAATTCATAACAATAGCGAGTTGGTGCATTGGTATTTTTCGTCATAAACGTAACGAAGAATTTTATAAACGAAGTCTTCCCGTTATAAGGTAACGATAGCCAATCGCAGTAGTCATTTGCTTATAACAGCCAAGAAGATTAGCGAGCTGCGATGTCACTATCAAATATGGCGACTAAATTTTACTGTTTATAAACTTCAATAATTATTACAATTGAAATGATGAAAATGAACAGTGGAGAATGTACTGTACATTCTAGTATTTCAATATAACAACTAATTAACTATAAATTGTTATTAAATTAACAAGCTGGTATGTATATATATTTGTATCTCACACACACACGTGTATATATATATACGTGTGTGTGAGATACAAATTTTTTAATTATGATTATCAAAATGATTTAACTGCCAATCTCATTTTCAAATAATGTTTGTGCAATTAACTCGTTACCAATTCTGTTCAACGTATCAGTTTTGCGTATCAATGTTCTCCGTTATGTTTTAACTCGCCAATGGTTTACGCCGATGTAAAAATAAATGGATAGTGAGGAACAATAGTATAATTTTTAATTAATTAAAAGTAGGATTTGTCGAATAATGAATTCAGCGATTCAAAAATGATCTGTATATAGAAAGTCTCTATTTAACATCGTTTCGTTATAGTGTTGCCGAGGAAAGGTAGAAATACATTTGTGATAATTATTGAAGTTTATAAACAGTAAAATTGATATCTAAGAGATGAGAACTAAATGCAGGTGATCGCAAACACAATCAAATTAGAATAGCATTAACATTAAATTACATCTTATTTAGCCAGTGGCGTAGCGTGCGTGTCAGCCGCCCGGGGCAAAGGCATCCCCTTATTTAGGTATCTCAATTTAAAAGACTAAAATTCAGTTTCGTCATAGAATAAGTAATGAAAAATTCCGTGCTAGTGTTGTCACCTTTTTAAAATCGCTGACCCGGACGGCAGGTGAGGTTTGTTCGAACAGAAGTTCCTGACGCATGCGTAATGTCGTTTTGCAATGCGAAGAATAATGTGTAGTGCATGTCGGTTCTAAAGCAGTTACAGTTAGCGACTAGGGAGACTTGGGTAGGAGTAACGTGAGTAACCTAGATCAGTGATCCCCAACCCCCGGGCCACGGACCGGCACTGGGCCGCCCAAGGAACATTAAGTTATTGGTATTTCCATTTTATTTACTATGGTGTATTTCTCTCGGGTTTGTGCGACTTTAAATGGACGACAGAACAACGGAATAAACTGGACATAAGAAACACACTTCGGGTGTCATTGTCTCCTATTACACCTAGATGGAACCGTCTTGTTGCAAAGATACAAGCTCGAGGTTCTCATTGATTTAACGTTCTAGTGAGTTAAAATGTTAAATCACATTATATTCATTTTTTGGTGTAACTATATTTTATTTTGAAGGCATGTTTAAATACAATTAAATTAAATCAATCTAAAATATAAACAATCAACGTCCCCCCCTCAGTGGACCGCGGTAAAAATCAAACGTTGACCGGTCCGCGGCGATAAAAAGGTTGGGGACCGCTGACCTAGATGACCTATTCTATTGGATATTGGAGGTGTATGTGAATAGAATCGAACAAGCAAAATAAAAAAAAGGTCGAAAGGTTGTGCACGGTATCACCAGGTAAAATTAATAGTTCATTCGGATGGTGAGTCGATTCTCGGACCATCCGGATGGTAACACTATTCCCCGTGCTCATTTCAATCTGTCCGAATCGTAGTAGCGACGATAATACGAAGTAAAATGGTTCAAATTTTTACAAGATGATATTATTTATTGTGAAATTTTGTCGCCCCCACTACGCTACGCCATTATTTAGCCTATGGTAGAATTAGTTTCGTTAAAACATCGTTTCACTTAGGTTCTTGGAAACTGCGGCATTCAAGTAAGGACATATTGAAATGTTACACAGTAAATATTCCTGTTTAAGACATTTTCCGCATCTAATAGTCATATTCTATGTTTAACTCGAGATGCTGAATACGATTTTAATCGCGAGTTCAGTTAATGCGAAGTGAATATCGATTTCAAGTCTGAAATCACGATTTAACTGGTGGCCATCGGCGCAATATAAATCACCATGCATTAATTAACATATAATTCAAGTTAATTCTCGAATTACAGCTTAACATTTGTTCTATTTGAATTCTTCGGAAAATGTACTTTCGATTTTTATAACAATTCGTGCCCATCTATATTAAAGGCCAATTTTTAGCAGCGATTCGCTATTGTTTTAGTGACCGCTTTTGCCATTAGAATTGATCGTGCAATCCGTCCGGTTATCGGTTGGAGAAATAACTTCGGTGCACGTAGAAAATTTTAGCATTTGTTAGTGGAATAATAAACTGATTAGATAGAAGTTTAATTATTTCTGTGGCTATTATCTATAACTTACTGGTGTGTGTATATACATACAACTTTTACTGGTATGTAAGTTATATACTGTATATAAAATTCGTGCCATGGGCATTAAAAGGTCCTTTCTAGCAAGCTCGCAATGAGGCACCGGGTAATTTTCTTAATTAAACTTCCCCTGTGGGCACTAAGATGGTCCACAGGGAAAGTTTAAAAAAATTACCCGGCGACTCACTATGGATTCGGCCAGGCCAACAATGGGGCGAGTGGGTGATGAGGGAGGGACCAACATTTCCGGATATAAAAATTTTCGTGATTTTTCGACCCTTCCGATACGATCTGGATCCCCACAGTGCTACGTTGCCATGTTAACCATTCGGCCAAATTTTTATTGGTGAAAAATGACTTATTTCAGGTTTACGGATTTTTCTTATTCTTACCGAACATGATTGATAGGAATAGTTTTCTGTTCTTAAAGCTTCCTGTCCTAACAATTGTAATTCTTAAACCACACAGTTTGATACATTCTTGTATGATAAATCCTAAATTTATTTAAAAGAATGCGGTAAAATTAATTACATAGAATTGTTATTTCAGAAGGCATTTCGGGTCAAGATCCCTCTTCAGCCACTGACAATCTTTGAAAACACTGGTCCTAGGTAATATCACAAGGAAAATAAATAATTTTTAGTGTATTAACACCCGAGAAAGTAATATAGGATGTCATGAGTATTAAACGTAGGATTTAGGGGAAAAAACGAATTTATCTTAGAGGTTGCCGCAAATATAATTATACATTTACAAACAAATTGTATATAAATACTGCAATTAAAACTGTTTAAAAAAATACAAATGAAGATTAAAAAGGAAGTTAAAACTGATAACTAAATTTTTTTTACCTAATATTTCCTTTTATTTCTGTAAATTATTGTCAAGTGTAAAACAATAACGTTTTTTTTAAAAATTAAACTATAAAAGTAATTTTCTCTTT